TCTTGATATTGTGTGTGTGTGTGTGTGTGTGTGTGTGTGTGTGTGTGTACTCCATGACAGAAGGATGGGCAATCTCCTCTCCAGTGATTTATTGCCTCTAAAAGCTTACTGGAGGGTCAGCTATGGATCAGTTCCAATTCTATAACACGCAACAACAAATAATTATTTATATAATTGCACTTAATCCTCTCATGGATAATATAAAGTAAATACTACTACTATATCATTGGGGTTTTTTAATAGCCAAGGAAACTGGGCATAGAATTAACCCGAGGATATGCAACTTGAAATAAAGATGCTGTGATTAAAGACTGAGAAGTCTAACACTAAAGTCTGGTTGAATAATCATTAAGCGACAGAGTAAGTGGAATGACTTTCTCGTGTATCAATTAAGCTAGGCATATTTAGGGTTTCCAGAATGGTCTTTTTCAGATGTGTCCAGTTAGCATGGGTCACAAAGGGATTCTTATGGGTGATTTAGCTGGTAAAATGAAGCAACAGCCATTTTGCAGTTGACATATTTTCTCAATTATCTGGTGGCAAATTCCACTGGATGAGGCAGTAGCTTTAACTTTCTTCAAATCTTCCTTCAACTTCTCTGCCTTCTGGTCCAAGTGTGAGTACTTAACCATATACAAAGATAGCCACACCACCTCCATCAATGTCAACAAAATTTGACATGGGTTTCTGGCTATCCTTTGGAAGCCAGCTCAGGCTCGTTCTAGATTATTCTTGCTCTCTCTATGTAACATTAATTTTCTACTTGAACCTATCAAGACTTAGGCATGTCAGACAGGAAGACAACTGCTTTCAGAAAATGCCTACACAATTACATAATTTCAAATCCCTGTGATGACTACATGCAAGCAGTCCTTGATTTGCATAATAGTGTTGCTGTTGCTATTAGGTATTGTGGAGTTGACTATGACTCTTATTGACTCTATGAACAATGAATCTGAACTCTGCCCTGTCCTATGCAATTCTCCTCATCTCTAAAATATTTAAACCTATTGTTATAGTCACTGTGGCAGTGACTTCATTTCATTGAAGATCTTACTCTCTTTCACTGACCCTCCTCCTTTACAAGCATGATATCTTTTTCCAAAAATTGACCACTCCTGTCTTCTCTTTACCTTGTCATGGTTTCCAGTCTGCCTCTGCTTATCTCACTTCCTCCTTACTGCTTTTCCCTCTATTTCTCTCAAAATTTAAATATTAAATTTTAATATTAAAGATTAAATCTTTTACTAAAGAAAAAAATTAGCCTTTCCTAACATCATGTCCAAAATATGTGATATGTAGGACAATAAAAATGACCACGTAAATTAAAATCATGCAATGTTGTTGTTATGTGCCGTCGAGTCGTTTCCGACTCATAGCGACCCTATGCACAACAGCTCTAAACCCTGCTCTATCCTGCGCCAACCGCACCGCCTCTGACACACCCATCCCGATTACCCCAGTCACTGAATCAATCCATCTCATAGAGGGTCTTCCCCTACTGCGCTGTCCCTCCACCCTCCCAAGCATGATGTCCCTCTCCAAGGACCCGTCCCTCCTGGCAACATGTTCAAAGTATGTCAGATGAAGCCCCAGAATCCTTGCCTCCAAGGAGTAGTTTGGTTTAATCCTCTCCAAGATGAATCTGTTTGTTTTCCTGGCAGTCCAGGGTACATTCAGTACCCTTCTCCAGCACCACAGCTCAAAAGCATCCACTCTCCTTCTGTCCTCCCTAGTCATTGTCCAGCTCGCTGATGCATAACAAGCGATTGCAAAGACCATGGCCTGTATCAGGCGCACCTTAGTCTCCAGAGCGACACTGTTGCTCCTGAGTACCTTTGAGAGGTCCCTAACGGCAGACTTTCCCAGCGCGATATGCTTTTTGATTTCCTGACTGCTGGTAACAAGAGTGTTGACTGTGGAGCCGAGCAAACTGAAGCTGTGAACACTCTCAATCTCTTCGTCATCCATCCAGATGCTGCCAATTGGTCCAGTGGCGAGAATCTTTGTCTTCTTGACATTGAGCCTTAGTCCATACTGAAGGCTGCAGTCCTTGACCCTTCACAGCAAGTGCATGAGGTCCTCCTCAGTTTCAGCAAGCAGGGTTGTGTCATCTGCATAACGCAGATTGTTAATAGATCTTCCACCAATCCTGATGCCACAATTCTCCTCATAGAGCCCAGCTTCTCGGATAATCTGCTCTGCATACATGTTGAAAAGGTATGGAGACAGGATGCATCCCTGGCGTACACCCTTCCCAATTTTGAACCATGCAGTGTTACCCTGCACTGTTCTGACTACTGCCTCTTGATCCAATCCAAGTACAGGTTTCGCATTAGCACAATTAAATGTTCTGGGATTCCCATTCTTCTCAGAGTCAGCCACAGTTTGTTATGATCCACACAGTCAAATGCCTTTGCATAATCAATGAAACACAGATAGACATTCTTCTGGTATTCTCTGCTTTCAGCCAAGATCCATCTAACATCAGCAACAATATCCCTAGTACCACGACCCCTTCTAAACCCAGCCTGGACTTCCGGAAGTTCTCTGCTGATGTGCTGTTCTAATCGTTTTTGGATAATCTTCAGTAGAATCTTGCTTGCATGTGAAATCAATGACACTGTTATGTAGTTTCCACACTCAGTTGGGTCACCTTTCTTTGGAATGGGAACAAATATAGATCTCTTCCAGCAATTGTATTTATTAACCATTTGATTCAGAAAAACTACAACAGGCAAATACATTAAAAAAGAAAAATACAGAGCCGCGCGCCCCGCCGCGCCGTGCGGGAAGATGGCGGGCTCGGTGGCCGACAGCGATGCCGTGGTAAAACTAGACGATGGGCATTTAAACAACTCCCTGGGCTCTCCAGTTCAAGCGGAGGTGTACTTCCCACGGTTGATAGTTCCATTTTGCGGGCACATTAAAGGTGGCATGAGACCAGGCAAGAAGGTGTTGGTGATGGGCATCATAGACCTCAACCCGGAGAGCTTTGCAATCAACTTGACCTGTGGTGACTCGGAGGATCCCCCCGCTGATGTGGCGATTGAACTCAAAGCCGTGTTCACAGACCGCCAGCTCCTCAGAAACTCCTGTATATCTGGCGAGAGGGGCGAGGAGCAATCAGCGATCCCCTACTTTCCATTCATCCCGGACCAGCCATTCAGGGTGGAAATTCTCTGTGAGCACGCGAGGTTCAGAGTGTTTGTGGACGGACACCAACTCTTTGATTTTTACCACTGCATTCAAACGTTCTCAGCCATCGACACCATAAAGATCAACGGAGACCTCCAGATCTCGAAGCTCGGCTGACGCTGGTTATAACCCGCCTCTGTATCCAGTAAGGATCAGGTGCCACGACTGTTGGTCTCGAAGAACTTGCCCTGGTAAGATCTGGAGGCTTAAAAAAAAAGACAACAAAAAACACAAGACGAACTTCACTGTCTCCTCGTTCTGTGCGGTGTCAACTCAAAAGGACAGTGTGGGCTGTAGGCTGCCCCCGAGAACCAGCGAACTGCCGGGACAGAGACACCCACTGAGCCGTTATTCCCAGAACAAAAAAAAGAAACACTCATTTATGCTGGATTTTATTCAGACTAAAACAAAAATGGATTTGCGAGCGGATAGCAGTTTATTCACCTTTTCAAAAGCACGATGATGCTTGGAAACAAAAGTGCTAAAGACCTAAACCATAAAAAACAAACAAAAAAAAACGGTACACAGAAATCAACAACCATTCTGCACTAAAGTCAGTCATGGTATCACAACCGCATTGTAGTCAGGGTATTTCCATAGAATGTAGGTTGTTCAAGGCTGGTTGGTTGATTTTTTTTTTTTTTTTTGGTTTTGGGGGGGTTTACTTTTTTTTTTGCACAGCATAATGTTAATTCAGATTTTAAGAACTTCTTTGTAGTTATTTATTTATACTTTGTGTCTGTGCTAGAGAATGAACAATGTCTCAGAACAGCAGATTACAAACTTCTGAATGTACAAGTAGCTTAGGTCTGTGAGGGGGAAGTGACCAATTACAATCATGGAAAAGGTGACAGTTCTACCTTGCAAAAAAGTGAATCGTTTCCGCCACACGCCTAAACCTAGGATTTCTTGATATAAATTGCTGTAAGTGCTTTGGGAAAGATCTTTGCAACGTTTAAGTAAAACTGCTTTTCAAGTTACTGACCAGTCTTGTAAGTTCTAAATTTACGTTGCTTTTGGTCTTTACTGTGACTAGCACAGTTTGGGCGTCCTTAAAATAAACTCCTTTCCCCCTAGATTTATGTAATAGTTCATTAAGTTGTTATTAAATTAGGTGAAAACCAGTGAAAAAAAAATACAGCCCAATATCTCCTATGAATGTAGATGAAAAATTTACAATAAAGTATTAGTAAGCAGAACACAACAGTAGATTAAAAGAATCATATACCATGACCATGTAGAATTCATATCAGGAATGCAGGTATAGCTCAAGATTAGAAAATCAATCCGTCTAATAAACCACATCAATAGAACAAATAAAAATGACCACATGACCATCATTATAAATACAGAAAGTGTTGTTGTTGTTATGTGCCGTCGAATCCCTTGTGACTCATAGCGACCCTATGTCCAACAGCCCTAAACCCTGCTCTATCCTGGGCCAATCGCACTGCCTCTGACACACGCATCCCAATTACCCCAGTCACTAAATCAATCCACCTCATAGAGGGTCTTCCCCTCCTGCACTGTCCCTCCACCCACCCAAGCATGATGTCCCCCTCCAAGGACCTGGCCCTCCTTACAACATGTCCAAAGTATGTCAGACGAAGCCCCAGAATCCTTGCCTCCAAGGAGTAGCCTGGTTTAACCCTCTCCAAGAAAGTACATTTGATAAAATTCAACACTATTTCTTTTTTTATATAATTTTTTCATTTTTAAACATTTCTCCCTCTTCTCCTCTCCCTCCCTCAACCCTCTCCATTTCTTGAAGAAAATTCTAAAGAAAACTTGAATAGACTTTAATATAATTCAAGGCACATATGAAAAGCCAACAAGCAACATTATATTTAATGGAGAAAGAGTGAGACCTTTCTCCTAGAAATAGTGAACATGACAAAGGTATTTATTCTCATCACTAGGAATCAGATTGATGTTTGTGGAAAGAAACATTAGAGAAGCTCAATATTAGCAGTCAAAACCAGACCAGGAGCTGACTACAGAACACCATCAACTATTCATACACATGTTTAAATTGAAGGTGAAGAGTATGAAAACAAGTCCACAAGAACCAAGCTATGGCTTAAATCTAGTCCAACGGAATTAAAAAACCAAAACCAGACACATTGAGCACTAATGACTGAAGATAAGTTGTGGAAGGACATCACGGGGAAAAAGCAAAAGGCCTTTGTAAAGACAGGGAAGAAGGAAAAAATCAAAATGAATTTCAGAATAGACTCTGAAACTTGCATTGGAATGAAAACAAGCCAAAACAGGGAGATATAATACAAAGGTGATAGAGTTGATCAAATTTCAAAGGGCAGCTTGACAAGAAAAACTATTGATTTGTACAAAGTACTGGAGGTAGAAAACCATAAAGGAAAATGTTTGACATTTCTCAAGCTGAAAGAACTGAAGAACATATTCAAACCTCAAGTTGCAACACTGTAGGAATCTATGGACAAAATCTTGAATAACACAGGAAGCATCAAAAGAAAGGTAAAAGGGAGGAAAACAAATGAAAGAACACAGAATCACTGTACTGGAAAGAACTGGTCAACACAGAACTATTTCAGGAAGCAGCAAATTATTGAGAACCCACAGTACTCAAGAAGTCCATGCTAACTGAAGGCATTGGCAGAAAGTAACGCCATAGGAACTGAATACCAACTGAAGTCACCATTGCTAAGGTTACAGGAAACAAATGAAAACCCTGGACGTGCTCACCAGTATCTACCAACAGATATGGAAGACAGCCACCAGGCGAACTGACTAGAAGAGGTCCATATTTGTTCTCATTCCCAATGAAGAGGATCCAACAGACTTGTGGAGATTGCTGAATATTATCATTAATATCACATGCAAGTAAAATCTTGCTGAAGATTATTTAAAAATGGCTGGATCAGTACCACAATAGGGAACTGCCAAAAATTGACACGATCAGTAGAGTCAGTAGAACAAGAAATATCAATCCTGATATCAGATGAATCTTAGCAGAAAACAGAGAATACCAGAAGAATGTCTATTTGTATTTTATTGACTATGCAAAGGCATTTGACTGTGTGGATCATAATAAACTATGGTTAACTCTGAGAAGACTGGGAATTCCTGAGAGTTTAATTGTTCATGCAAAATATATATAGTCTAAGAAGCAGTTGTCCAAACAAAGCAAGGGAACATTGTATGGTTTAAAATCAGGAAAGTTGTATACCAGAGTTGTGTCCTTTCTCCATACTTATTCAAATTGTATGCTGAGCAGATAACTTGAGAGCTGGATTCTATGAAGAAGGATGTGGCATTAGGATTGGTGGAAGATTTGTCAACATCCTGCATTGTGCAGCTAACACTACCTTGCCTGCAGAAAGTGATCAAAACTTTCAGAACTTACTGCAGAGGATCAAAGCCTACAATATGGATCATATCTCAACATCAAGAAAACAAAAATCTTCACCACTGGCAGTACCATGATAGATGATTAAAGTTGTCAACAATTTCATTTTCCTTGGATCCACAATCAACACCCATGGTAACAGCCATCAGGAAATCAAGAGGTTTTGCATTGGGGAAATCTGCTGCCAAAGACCTTTCCAATGTTCTAAGTAGCAATGATGTCAGTTTAAAGACTAAGGTGCAGCTAATCCAAACCACTGTATTTTCATTTTCTTCCTATGCATCCAAACTTTGGCTAATGAAAAAGGAAGACAGGAGAAGAAGGGATGCCTTCCAATTGTGGTGTTGGAGATTATTTTGTATATCACGGATAACCAAAAGAACAAATAAATCTGCTTTAAAGGAAGTGCAAGCGAGTGCTCCTTAAATGCAAGGATGATGAAATTTTCTCTTTTACTTTGGGCATATTTTCAGGTGAAAACAGTCCTTGGAGAAAGGCAGATGGTCAGCCATGTGACGACCACAATGAACCTGAACATGGGGGAGTTTGTGAGGATGGTACAGGATAGGGCAAGATTTATAATGTTATTCACTGAGTCTCTATGATTCATGGTTGATTCAATGGCACTGAACAACAACAACATAAGTCATGGGATTATGTAGTAGAGACTGAGAAGATGCCACACTATCTGGCAGGGCTTTATCCTGTTGTAGACAGGGTTAATAGAATCATCACACCTAACAATAGCAAATAAGAGATCAAAATGACAACAACTCACAAGGGTAGATTGAACTCTTAGATGTTGTTCTTCTTAGATGCTGTTGAGTCTACTATAACTCATACCAATTCTACAAACAGCCCTATACTGCATCATTGTTACAAGCTCCAGGCTCGATAATATGGATGGAATAATTGTGTCAATCCTCCTTGAGGGTCTTCCTCTCTTTGGATAACTCTCCACCTTCCCCAAGATGATGTGTTTTTCCAAAGATCCAGACCATAGTCTTTTCAATTACTTGCTATGTGTCAAAAAGCTGGACAGTGACTAGGGATGATAAAAAGAGAATTGATGCCTTTGAGCTTTGGTGCTGGAAAATAGTGTTGAATATACCATGGACTGCTAGGAGAACAAAAAGGTTTGTCTTGGAGAGGGTGAAGCCGGAATGTTCCTTGGAGTCAAGGATTCTTAAGCTTCGCCTGACATACTTTGGGCATGTTGCAAGGAAGAACCAGTCCTTGGAGGCGAACATCATGCTTGGGAGGGGAGAGGGCAGAGAGGAGGACCCTCAATGAGATGGATTAATTCAGTGACTGGGGTAATGAGGGTAGATGAGTCAGAGACAATAAGGTTGGCACAGGATAGAGCAAGTTTCAGGACTCTTGTACATGGGTTACTATGATTTGTAAGCGACTTGATGGGACATAAAAACAACCCCTTCATAGAATATCTCCAAAGCCAATAAGACAATTTCACCATTCTTACCTATAAGGAGCAGCACCCTGGTTGCACTCCCCTCCAAGACAGACTTCTTTGTTCTTTTGGCAGTCCCTGGGATTTTCAGTACTATTCTCCAACACCACAACTCAAAAGCACTGATTCTTTTAAGTTCTTCCTTATTCATTGTCTAACTTTCAGGTTGAAAAGCAATTGAAAATATCATGGCTTTGGTCAGGTACACTTAAGTCTTTAAACTGAAAAAAGAGAAATCTTTAAACGGACATCTTTGCT